AGTTAGGAACATTAAAAAAAAAAAACATCCAATTGAGAAAAAAGGACTGGGCAGAAGAGGAGGGGTAGTAAAGGGATAAAAAAGAACAAATGTAATAGATCAACATGGGTATACAATAATGGGCAATTTTGATAATGAGATAATAACATACTGCAGGCTTTGGGCCTTGAAGAAGAAAGGAGCCTAATGAAAAGAATCATTATCACTCTTCTTATAATTCTAGGAGAAAAAAAATGACTACAAACACAAATGCAGGCCAGGCTAGTGTCTTGGGTCTGGGAAGGGGGCTGATAACACTGTATTTAAGTTTCTTGCTCAGAACACTCTGCATTCAGAAGAAAATGACTTGGGGGTCAGAGGGCAAATGAGGCAAAAGGCAGTGGGCTGCAAATACAGCATGGGCCTAGCGCTTCATTCCTGAGCCAGATTACCAGCTCTGCAAGGTGAGACTTGTAACTAAAAATCTAAGATGGGTAATCTATTCGGCTCCCCTCTCTTAGCTTTCACTATTTTTCAAGAAGTTAGTTTAGCCTGGACTAGATGATCCTGTTTGCAAAGTTACAGGCACAGATAAGGAACCCAGCATCACCATCAAAGTAGACAGTGCTTCTATTCTCCAAGCTATGAACTACTGACAGGCTGGGAAAGGGGATCTTAAATTCAGATCCATGGACAGGCCTGCAGCAGGAAGGGGGACAAGAAGGAGAGGTGGCAGTCTTTGTCCCTCCTGATATTGTATACAAAATTAAGTGTTTGTGGGCTGGGGGTATGGCTCGGTGGTAGAAAGCTTGCCTAGCATGTGAAGCCCTGGATTTGATCCAGGGGCTCACATGAAGACACACACAAAAAAACTGTGTTTGTGCCTTTGGAAGGGAAGAGGCTCTTTAGTTCTCTTTGGGTTCTCTTTAGTTCTCTTAAGCATCTTGCCTCACCAACATGCAAACTCACTCTGAATCTCAGTCACAGAACAGGGAAAGAGCTCTGAAGTCCTGAGTCGGGGGACTTGTATTCCAGGTGCACCCACCGTACCTCCTTCAGCAAGTTATTCATCCCCCTAATTACCCCTCTGGAAGATAAGATTAAATTAGACAAACTTTGAGCTCCCTGCAAATCTACTAATCAATATTTCCATGATGTGTTTGTCCTTCTTCCTTCTAAGAAACAAGAGGACATACTGCTGGAAGTTACTTTTAATATACTTCATCTGAAGCCAGAAAATGATCCCACCCCACCATGATCCTGGCTATCACAAACACTTACTTGTAATGGGGGCCATTGGAATGACCTCCTTCTAGGGCATCAGCTTTGAAAATGGTCTACTAGAAGGAACTGAAACTCAGGTATTTTCTAGCTGGTCTGCAAATTCTGGTGCCAATGGGTTGCAGGGTCGAATAGCACACATGGAAATTCACTGATGACCCCAAATTCTTAGCTGACTATGACCATTACATCCAACTCCTTCTTATTTTGTCTTTATGTATGTAAATGTATGTATGTCAATGGTATTGGCACACACACACTAATAAACTCATTCTATTTTTCTTATTTCCTCATCTTTATTAATGAGGAAAAAAGGATTAAAAAGATAAAAGGCCAAGAAGGAAAAAGCCAAAGAAAAGTCAAAGCTGGCTTCCTGCCTAATTGAATCATCAGGTTGAAGAAAGACTTTCCAATCTTCCTGTGTCTTGTACCAAGTCAATCTGAGCTCAAGCAAAGAGTTGCAAAGCAAACAGCCCTGAAGACCAAAGTGTTTCAAGAGGGGTCACAACAATCTAAACCAGACCAAAACTAACTGCAATGACACATTTAAATGGAGATATCTCAAGTTTTGCTTGCTTTCATCTTAGAAAAAGAGCATAAAGATTTACCAGAGTAACTAGAATCCCTAGTTAAGAGATAGCCCATCAAAGAAGTTTTGGTGTCAAGGAAAGTTACCTGAACCTGCTTAATAAGCCAGTTGTCTATAGCTTGACATTTATTTTGAAAGTGTTAGCTGTTAATGTAACAAATATAACAGCACATCTGCCATGAGAGAGGAGAAAAGGGGAGAGGGAGAGAGAAGAAAGAATGAGAAAAGGAAAGCATAGGGTGACAGGGGAGAAACAGTGATCTCTGTGCAGTGTAGTACAGGTGCTCTGGGCTGAAGTGCATACCCCCGAAATTCATACATTGAAGTCCTAACCCCCAGCACCTTAGAATGTGAATGTACTGAGACAGGGCCTTCAAGGAGGGGATTAAGTTAAAAGGAGGTTATCAGAATCGGCCCTAATCCAGTCTTATGGATGTTCTTGTAAGAGTCAATTTGGCCACACAAAGAGTCACTATGGGTATGCATGCAGGGAGATGATGACCATGTAAAAAGGCCACAGGGCTTACATCTGCAAGCCGGAGAGGCCTCAAAGGAAGTCAATCCTGCTGGCATCTTGATCTTGTGGATAATAACAGTACCTTGCCTCATAAGTCTATTTTAAGGATTAAGTAAATTAATCTGTGTAAAACACAACAGTACCTAGCACAGCATAAGCATTCAAGAAGTGGCAGCTGACAATGCTGCTGCTGTTATTAATAAAAAGGACCTAAGAAAATATTAGCATACCTGGTGTGAAACATACAATTCATATAAAATGCTGACTGAATGAAAACCTTACCATTAGCTTCCTAAATGACCCTAGGTACGTAACTGGGCCCTTTGTGGTCTTATGCTTACACAACAGGAAGCATAACTTCTTGCTTATGCTCAATGGTTCTTCAAGGAAAATGGTATTTGTTTTTCACTGGGGAAAGGTCCACTAGAAATAGAGTTCAAAGTGGCCTGTCTAGAGCACCATATGTACTCTAAAGGATGTCCACCAGATGACAGAGACTATTTAGCCAGAATTGTAGGCTGGAAGCACTCAGACTCAGAATCACTGGCTCTATTTGTCCAAGGAGAGGTTTTCTGATGTGCCTCCTTTTCTTGGAATCTTATGAAACTGCTAAAAATGGAGAAAGCAGCTCTCTATCTGCTGACCTCTCCTGAGAAAAGGGACACAAGGTGGGCAGAGAGATAAGAAAACATGGCAGGTCACCTCTACAGGCAGAGAGTAACTTCTGCTCCAACACTGTTCCATGTCTCTGAGTCAGTAAGGAATGACGCTGTGGCATGTCAAAGTAGCCACGTATTTTAAAGTATAGATTTATATTGTCAATTTAGATTATTTATAATATCATTCTTTGATATTATCCACTCTGGAACTAAGACCAAAGCAGGAGTGTTTTTATTGGCAGTGCCAGGGATGAGGCCAAGGCTTCATGTATACTAGGGAAGAGGTCTACCACTGAGCCTTAACCCCAGCCCTCCAGCTTCAGTTTTGAAGAAGTCTCTGGAAGTAACTTCTATGGGCATTAAGTTTCAGAGCCACTGTAAAAAAAAAATTAGTGGCCTTCAACTCAGGCTTTGAGTTAGAATGAACTAGAATACTTCTGAAAACACAATACTCAAGCTTTGTCACAGATCATGAACTTAGATACTCCAAGGGTAGGGCAGGGCATCAGGGTTGTTTGTTTTTCTACCAGTTTGTTATTTTATTTTATATTTAATTGACAAAAAGTTGTCTACACTTATGGGCAGACAATGTGGTGTAATATAATTAAGGGGTAAAATGTAATGATGCTTTGATATATATTTACACTGTGGAATGATGAACCAAGCTAATTAAGTGATCCCAGGGCCTAAGGAGGGTTCAAAATCACTGCTTTAAGATGAATGCTTCCCATTTTAATTTCTGCTGATATATAATATGCAGCTGGAAAAGTACAGTATCATAGGGGTGTATGTATCTACGGGAGGGGATGATTACATTCTTCAGAAGGAACAAAGTATATCTGTGGTTTGAAGATCAAAAAGTTCACGCACTGCTTCTAACTCTGCCACTTGGACTTTATGTGACTCTCTCAATGTCAGTTTCTTCCTCTGTAAAACAAGAAACCAACATACTTGCCCTGTCTATGTCATACAACTGTCATGTGAGAAAGCCTTTTAAAGTGCTATCCAAAAGGCAAGCTTATGATTTCAAGAATTAAACTCTTGATTTTATGCCTAAAATAAATTTAAGTCATGAAAGTAGTAGAAATGATTTTACAAGTGATTTCTTTACTGAACTTTCTAATGGATAGCTAATCCCTCTGTAGCCCCACATGTGGGAGTCTAAGGGCAGTGCCCAGTCATTCCCAACCCAGATATGGAGCACCTGCTTCTCTGAAAGCTGGTTTATCACCTAGGCTCCTGTCACAGTGGGATTCTCCCAGCTAGTCATGGGAGGTTTGTGTGACCCACACTTTTCTATGGATTTGAGTGGATAGAAAAATAATTGAATTCTTGCCCCTGGGGTCCCTTAGAAAAATGATGACAGGCTTTGAACTCCCTAGCATCATTCTAAAATACCTGGAAGCCTCTGTCTAATGGGTCATGCCTAAGTCCCCCATCTTTCCACTAAACCTCCCCAAGAGTTTCAGTAGTCTTTTCGGTCTGTCCTAATTTATTTTTTTATTTTTTTTGGGGGGGGGTATGCTAGGAATCAAACCCAGGGCCTCATGTAAGCCAAGCAAGCACTCAACCCTTGAACCACATCCTCAGCCCTGTCTGTAAAAGCTTATGGCAGCCTGAGTCTCACCCCATCAATTTCTACTACACTGCATTAAAACTCAACATCAAGGCTGGGGTTGTAGCTCAGTGGTAGAGCACTTGCCTAACATGTGTGAGGTACTGGGTTTGATTCTCAGCAACAACACATATAAATAAATAAATAAATAGATAAATGTATGTGTTCATATACACTTAAAAAGAATTTTAAAGCCCCTCAACATTAATGTGTGTGTGTGCGCACATGTTTGTGTGTGTGTGTGTGTGTGTGTGTGTGTGGTAAATCACATGTGCATATTGGCTAAGAATGAGGACATGTAAGGAAAGAACAAATACTATTTTGGATATTTCTAGAACATTTTTAGAAGTGGCTACTTACCAGCCGGGTATTTACCACAGGAAAAAGCAATGCCAGAAGAGCCCCATTCAACATGTGCATCTGTAACCTGGAGGAGAAAGAAGAACAAATCCAGGTTACACTAAGACCCTGATGCAGAGGTAGAAGAAGAAAATATATCAGGTTAAGCCAGTCCATGTGGGAGGGGGTTATGTATATAAGCCGCTGTCTGTGTAAAACACATACACAGGATAAATTAAAAGCAGCACATTTTGTACTAATTGAAATGTTCTGAAGAGCACTATCAGTGCCTCTGAATCCTCCAAACACTTCCTGAACACACTCTGGTTACAACACTTCATTACATAATGAGCTCTGTGCTCCCTAAACATCCTGTCGGCCCCAATCAGAGGCTTCAACTGCTGAGGCATTAGGAAAGGGGAACTGCAGTATCTAAGTGTTCTGTTGTAATGGAAGACGCCTATTTATTAGACTATGGTCACCTTTTACACAGTCATAACCAAATATTTTTCCCAGAGACCTGGACAAAAAGCCCAGGAAGCCAACTGTAGTGCTTTGCAAATTGTTTTCCCCTATGCTTAGAAACAACTTTAGGAGTTGCTGCAGGAGGTGGGGAGGGCAAGTGTGGCAGGCTTCCAGTTTTTCTATACATATTGGACTCCTTAGCTTAAAAGCAAAAGAAAATTTAAAAAGAAGATGAAGGAAAAGAAAACCACCAGTCTCTAACACTGGGTAGTAATACTATTTCTCAGTCCCAACACCAGAGTAGAAATTCTTCATAAGTCAAAATAATTTACTCAGGAAGAAACCCTTTCTATAAGGGCTCTGTACAGGATTTAAAGAGCTTCTTTCATCATTCTCTGAGTCAACATGCCTCTTAGACTTAAAGTCACTAGCTAGGGTGTGTGTGTGTGTGTGTGTGTGTGTGTGTGTGTGTGTGTATGAGACACAGCAATCCTACCAGGATGTATAGTTTGTCTTCATGAGAAAGGCAGGCCACATTGCTGAATCACCCTAAAACTTTGGCTCTTTCCTTACAGTTCATGGAACTGTTTATAAAAGACATTACCAGGAGACCCCAAAGAATAGAGGTCTCTTCTAGAAATAGGTCCCAGGACTGCCTTTTATTTTCCCCAGACTGTTTTTTATTACCAAAGCTTCACAATAGTGATGATGAGCACTTAGTATATTTCTTATGTATATATATGAATATACCATAGTGAATCCTACCATCATGAACATCCATAAGAATGGAGTCCTAACTAGAATAAGATATATTTCATGCTTGTATAATCTTATCAAAATGAATTCTGCTATCATATATAAAAAGAACCAATAAAATATATGTATTCTAGTCAAGTTATCTTATTAGCTGATTTACACAAACTCTCCCTCTCAATTTTTTATAGCAATCTTATGATATGGATATGATGACTTTTCCCATTCTGTTGATGAAGAAGCCACAATCAGAGACATGAAGCGACCAGATCAATGCCTTGTATCAGGTAAAAGTCAGCACTCACATCCAGATTTATCTGACTCCAGATACCAAAATTTCATATCCTTCCCGCTATATTACATCAGAGGCTTCATTCCTTCTGCCCTCCCAAATATGGCCTCAGTTAGAAAGTCAGGGATGCTCTTTTGTCCTTTGGATCCAGTAACCTCCCTATCTCCTCCTGCATTCCCTGAACCAAGCTTAATATGCTTTCAGGGAATGGATTTAAAGGGAGAAGACTCATTGGCCATGCTAGCCCAAAAGTCCTATAGGTTAATAGGACTTGGCTTGCCCAAGTGGAGGTAGCACAGTAATGCAATATCACTCCTGCTATCTCAGGCTGGCCAGCTTACCATACCATTTCAGGAGGGTCATTCAAGAGGGTGCCCTGTGCTCTGAATTCCAGGCCTGGGTGAAGAAATTTGGTTTAGCTCTGACTCTGGGCCCTCGTCTATGACAGCAACAGTATAAAGACTCTTCCTGAGAGAGGAAAAATCATACTGATAATTAAGATAAAGCTAGATTCTTGTGCCAGGCTTCACCATTGACCTCAAAAGAAAGTTGGCATTTGCACAAGGCCAATTAGACATTAGGAAAACACGAAGTTATATATCTTGAGAACAATGGAATTGATTCCAAGGGCCCAAGGAAAGCCAAAGATAAAACCGATAAAATGAACATCAAGATTCAAAATAGGGCTGGGTTGTGGCTGAGTGGTAGAGCACTTGCCTAGCATGTGTGAGGCCCTGGGTTCAATTCTCAGCACTGCATATAAATAAATAAAATAAAGGTCTATTGACAACTAAAAAAATATTTTTAAAAAGATTCAAAATGAATAAGTTCCTAGATAAAGACAAGCCTTGTTCTGGGTTCTCAAAATTCAATTATACAAGATATATATGAAAGGGTAAATTATATTTAATATATAAAGAAATCTTACACACTAACAATTACAAAAATATCCAAGATGTACTGACCATTCTACATGCAAATCACTGAGCTAATATTTAGACACATCATTGCATTCATTTCCCACTCAGATTTTATTATAATTAGCATTATCACCTTATTCATTACATAGCTTCATTTCATAGCTGAGTGACCATGTCACTCCAAGTCATTAAGTAACTTCCCCAAGAGCACACAGATAATAAATGAATGAGTCAGAAGTCACACTCAGGTCTCCCCAAGTTTCAACTCTGTGTTTTTACTACTGTATTCAGATTCAAATATGTGGCATGAATATTACATTTGCTTCATGGTATATGTGCATGTCTATGTGTGGAAGCAGTTCTAAGATACCCATAGGGTCATGTCAGAAGATAATGGAACCCTTTCTGTGCTTTATGACAAAACTGCCTTGATTATACAGCTACACCACACCTAACAGGTGAGCAACTGACCAAAGATGGCCTAAATCTTCCCCTTACTTCTGCCTTCTGCCTCCTGACTGCTTTATCCTGGTGTCTTTCCCATGTGGCACTGCTTAGCATGACAGGCCCCTGTAAGTATAATAAACTTTGTTTTCCCCTTTTTTCTCCTCTTATGGTTATACCTGACTGGCCATCACATAAAAGAATACAAAATAGCGGCTGGATGAAGCAGAGTTTAGTTTGGCCCTGCCCCTGGGACCTCGTCTATGACAGCAACAGCATAAAGATTACATAAAGAATAAAAAATAAGTACTCAGTGGTAGAGCACTTGCCTGGCATTTGTGAGGCACTGGGTTCAATCCTCAGCACCACATAAAAACAGATAAATAAAACAAAGGTATTGTGTCCATCTATAACTAAAGAAGAAGAAGAAGAAAAAGAATTTGGCCTTTAAAAAATATAAAACAGCCATTAACTGATGCCATAAATATTACCTACAGGACTTCTTGGTTTGTATAGCTTAGCTGGTAATAGCCTAAGGTTCCACATAGGAAAGGTGTCAATTCTCGACTAAATGATCTATGGAATCAAAGCAATTCTGACCAAAATCCCAGTAGGATATTTTATAGATACAGGTAAACTGACTCTAAAATGTATATGGAAGGACAAAGAAACAGGAATAGCTGAAAAAGGCTTAGAAAAAGAAGCTAGATGAAGACATTATCTTACCTAATTTTAAAGCTCACCATAAAGTTCCAGCAATCAAAACAATGCAGTATTTGGTAAGAATAGACACATTGAATATAAAACAAAAGAGTCCAGTATAAGACCCACATTGATATGGTCATTTGATTTCTACAATAGTGCAAAATGCTGTTGGAACAACTGGACATTCCAAAGTAAAATAATGTAGACCCATAATCTAAGCCTCACACCTTATATAAAGGTTAAGTCATAAATCTAAATAGAAATCATAAAATTATAAAACCTTTAGAAGAAAACAAAGAGAAAATCTCTGTGACCTTCAGTTAAGCAAACAGTTATTTGAATAACATGACACCAAAAACACAATACATAAAGAAAAAAATGTTAAACTGAACTTAACCAAAAGCTAAAGGATTTTTACCTAAAGGATAGTTTCAAAGAAAATGAAAAGACAAGCTATATAATGATACAGAATGTGGAAACTATTTGTAAATCACGGATCCAAAAAAGAACTTTTATCTGGAGTACATAAAGAATCCTCAAACTCAATAATAAGAAAACAACTCAATTGTTTAAAAGGGCTAAAAAAAATGAATAGAAACCTCACCAAAAGATATATAGGGTTGGGAGTGTAGCTCAGTGGTAGAGTGCTAGCCAGGCATGCATGAGGCCTTGGGTTTGATCCCCAGCACCACTCCTCATCTATCAATAGAATTGCTAATATAAAAATACTGACAATAGCAATTGCTGGAGATGATACGGAAAAACTGCACATGTTGGTGGAAATATAAAATATAAAAGTACCACTTTGGAAAATAGTTTAGAAGTGTCTTATAAAATTTAGAAAATTAAAATATGTATCCTATGACCAAATAACCCTAGTCCTGGATATTTATTTACCCTCCTGAGATGAAAATTCATGTTTCTGCAAAAACCTGCACACAAGTATTCACAGCAACTCTATTTATTCATTGTCAATGGACCTTTATTTTATTTATTTATTCATATGTGGTGCTGAGGATTGAACCCAGTACCTCACACATGCTAGGCAAGAGCTCTACCACTGAGCTACAACCCCAGCCTAGCAACTCTATTTGTAATAGCCAAAATTTGAAACCAGTCCAGGTGCTCTTCAATGAGTAAATAAACAAACTGTGATAAACACAGACATGGAAAACTACTCATAAATAAAAATGAGTGAACAAGTGATACATGCAAGAATTTAGATAAATCTCATGCAGCATTATGCTGCATGAACAAAGTTACTCTCAAAAGATTACATATAATAGGGTTCCATATGTATGTTATTCCCTGAACAATAAAACTATAGTAAAGGAGAACTGATGAGTGGTTGCCAGGTTTTATGGATGTGGCTATTATTCTAAAGGGACAGTATGACGAGTTCTTAGAAGAAATGGTACTATTCAATTCCCTGATTATGGTGGCAGTCACAGAAATCTACACAAAATTATGCTGAAAAACTCAATTTTACTATATGATAAAATTCAAAAT